GTGGGGTCTAGATCAGGGCTATGTTGAAGGCTTTGCTGCTGTTATGTTACTTGTTTTGCGGCCATGTTGGTCCATTTGGCTGCTTTTTCTCTGCTGTTTGACTTGGGCAGGTGGTCTTTTGCGCAGTGCGTGTAAACACAAAAAACATAAAAAATGAGGTCCGACAAGTGAAGAAAGGTGGTTTTGGCAGTTTTCTTTGTCGTTTTTGTTGCTTTGTCTTATGAAAGCTAGCTCCAGTGGGTGCCTAAATTCGGGGCACGTTTGTGCCAATCTTCGGCGATCTTGGTGCATTCTTGGGCCATATCCTGTTCCATGTTGGCACGTTTCGCCCAATGTTGGGGCTCTCTTGGGGCTTCTCGTGGAGGTATGTTGGAAGTGAGTGGGGCTGTGGGGTCTAGATCAGGGCTATGTTGAAGGCTTTGCTGCTGTTACGCTACTTGTTTTGCGGCCATGTTGGTCCACTTGGCTGCCTTTTCTCTGCGGTTTGACTTGGGCAGGTGGTCTTTTGCGTAGTTTGTGTAAAGAACTATAGAAAATTATTCTGTACCATGAAAAATGAGGTCCGACAAGTGTAAGAAAGTTAGTTTTGACAGTTTTTTTTGTAATTTTTGTTGCTTATGCAAGCTTGCTCCAGTGGGTGGTCAAAATTGGGGCAAGTTTGTGCCAATCTTCGGCGATCCTGGTGCATTCTTGGGGCATATCTTTTTCCATATTGGCGCATTTCACCCAATGTTGGGGCTCTCTTGAGGCTTCTCGTGGAGGTATGTTGGAAGTGATTGGGGCCGTGGGGTCTAGATCAGGGCTATCTTGAAGGCTTTGTTGCTGTTATGTCACTTGTTTTGCGGCCATGTTGGTCCACTTGGCTGCTTTTTCTCTGCTGTTTGACTTCGGCACGTGCTCTTTTTCGTAGCGCGGGTAAAACACTGTAAAAACAAAGAAACAATGAGGTCCGACAAGTGTAAGAAAAGTGGTTTTGATAGTTTTCTTTGTCGTTTTTGCTGCTTTGTCTTATGAAAGCTAGCTCCAGTGGGTGGTCAACTTCGGGGCACGTTTGTGCCAATCTTCGGCGATCTTGATGCATTCTTGGGACATATCCTGTTCCATGTTGGCACGTTTCGCCCAATGTTGGGGCTCTCTTGGGGCTTCTCGCGGAGGTATGTTGGAAGTGAGTGGGGCTGTGGGGTCTAGATCAGGGCTATGTTGAAGGCTTTGCTGCTGTTATGTTACTTGTTCTGCGGCCATGTTGGTCCACTTAGCTGCTTTTTCTCTGCCCGGTTTGACTTGGGCAGGTGGTCTTTTGCGTAGTGTGTGTAAAGCACTATAAAAAAATATGTACCATGAGACATGATGTCCGACAAGTGTAAGAAAGTTGGTTTTGACAGTTGTTGTTTTCTTTTTTGGCGTTTTTGTTGCTTATGCAAGCTTGCTCCAGTGGGTGGTCAAATTTGGGGCACGTTTGTGCCAGTCTTCGGCGATCTTGGTGCATTCTTGGGACATATCCTTTTCCATATTGGCGCATTTCACCCAATGTTGGGGCTCTCTTGAGGCTTCTCGTGGAGGTATGTTGGAAGTGATTGGGGGCCGTGGGGTCTAGATCAGGGCTATGTTGAAGGCTTTGCTGCTGTTATGTTACTTGTTTTGCGGCCATGTTGGTCCGCTTGGCTGCTTTTTCTCTCCTGCTGGACTTCGGCGCGTGGTCTTTTTGCGTCATGTGTATATAACATCGTAAAAACCGGACAGACTTAGGTCCGACAAGTGTATGGTTTCTCTGCCGTTCGACTTGGGCAGGTGGTCTTCTGCGTAGTGTGCGTAAAACACCGTAAAAACCGTGAACAAATTAGGTCCGACTACCCTGCAGCAATAAAATGTTGCTGCTCCGCTTTCCGTGTTTTTCCGACCTGGTTTGCAGCGCCAGTTTCGTCCAACGAAGAATAATGAGAATAGACCATGTGTAAAACTGAAAAGAACCATCAAGCTCCATCGAAAGGCTTCTTCCTAAGATGATTCGACGGAGATGCCTGAAGTCTGTACGTCGGACCATGAGTGGTCACCCTGAGTTGCATTCTTTCGGCTTGAAAAAAGCTGAGAACCCCAACAAAAACACTAATAAGAGACCTACAGCATCTGGGAGGTGCATTGAAACGATTGAAAATAGGGAGGACCGTTTCCACCGGTGACCGACCATTCCGACCTCCGTGCGGTGACCAGACCGGAGCGCGACCAGACAGATGTATATAAGCATGGCGACATGACACATGACCCACAGACGATCTGCTTGGTCAATTCCACACACATGACCTACATGACCCACAGAATGCTCAAAGAACACCTGCTTGGTCATTGGACTTTTTGAAGGAAGAAAGGAGTGTCATCTCTCTCATCAAAGTGAGGAGGGGCAAGCTTCTGATATCCTTGATCTCCACTTCACTCATGTCACATCTACTCAAAAAAGTAAAACACAAACTGGTACAACAGAATTTCTACATCCCAGGGCTCCAACTACCTCTGCTTCGAAGATGCTTGGGGTGGGTGCCAGCGGGGTCTAACCACCGAGCCTGAGGATATGGGCCAGGAGCCCTCGAAACAGGAGATCATAGGAAATCCGTCTTCCCACAGGATCAAAGTGCATCTTGTGGAGCCCATGTTCCTTGGGTTTGCCAGGGGCTTCCCCATTCTACCAGGGTGTGACCATGGGACGTTGTCAAAAGAAGGAACAACGTCCTCCAGATTCAATGGAACATGTCCTCCATGGCTCCCAACAACATTCAATATGGAAAGTTGTTTCAGAACAGCGACCAGGACGACCAGGAGCCTAGTTGTTAATATGCCATTGATTTATAAAACAACTTTCCAGATTCATCCTAGTTTCCCTGCAGTAGGAAACTCCTCCCCTTTTTCATGAACAAGCACATCAAGCATCATCAACCCAAACTTCAACAAACAGCAGTCCCACCTCCATTGCGAGATCATTCCCATGCATCCCCACCTTGAAATTCCTACCCTCGCCCCACACAGGTCCTTCTCGGTTTCGCTTCGGCTCCCGAGCACGAAAGGCGAAGGCGAGGAGCGAACGCGGCGGTTCCACTGGATCTCCTCCTCGGAGTGCTGGGTGGGATCCAAATCACCTCGCAGGGCTCCGTTCTCGGAGTTCGACAGGCGGCGAACTGGGTGCAGTCTTGGAGTTCTCGGTGCAGTTCATCTGTAGACCGTCCGGGATGGAGTTCCAAGAAGCTTATGGCTTCACAGGGTCTGGGTTTTTTAAGACCACACACAGTGTCCGAACGCATCTGGTCGAAAGCGACGGCAGGTTTGGACTGAGGTTGTGGACCGGTCTGATGTTCTGGGGAATATCTGTGCACCTCCAAGCGGGGGGCATTGACGTGAAACCCCCTGCGCGGCTCGGAGCCCTGACATAGGTGCAGTCTTCATCTATAGGTGCAGTCTGACCGAATCTGCTCCTGAAAACGTCATCGAGTCATGTTGTTGTAGGAAAAACACTCAGCAAAACGAGGTCAGTTACTGACCTGTAGGGTGACATTTCTCTTTTGCAAAACGTGGTCAAATTTGACAGCAAGCTGAGAATTGACCAAGTACATACCTGAAACCTTGGTCTCAGAAAGGATCTCTTTGGGCTCAAAAAATGACGTGAAACCGGAGCAACCTGCAGGGCAGGCCTTAAACCTGAAACCTGACGCCTTCGGGTGGACATATCCACTGTCCCAATCATCCACAAAACACTCCTAAATTGTATCGTTCATATATCAAACAATTGAGCATGATCAGGCGTTGATCGCTTGCCCAAACACTCCATGTATGGCATGCATGCCGCCCCATTGACCCCATTTCAACCACCCCAATGTGGGTAGATACGCCAGTCCCAAACAGGTCTTGTCTGGGCGAGGGATCAACGCCTAATCTTTGGACTGGCACATGGCCTCCAAAACCACCGAGGCCAAGCGCTGAAGTCTGGTCCAATCACGGGTCTGGGTGTATTCGCTTGTGCCGGTGCTGGTGTCCTTTCGAGCTGACTCCTAATTAATGTAGACTTTTGAGTAAAATGGTTTACCGGCTTTTGGAGGTTTTATGAATCATCAGTCCACATGATGACGGACCAGTCCAAACTGTGTTTTCTACACGGCACGCTCTTCCGAGAGCTTGGGCAAGGCCGTGTCCTGGCTGAGCACCAAGTGGTCCATCGCCGGAGCCTTCAAGCTGCCAGACACGACCAATGGAACTGAACGAGTTATATACATGGACCACTCCACATGGATCCATTCGGCCATCAGTCCATTGACCATTGACCACTCCACCTGGAGTTGAGCAATTGAAACCATTGACCCTTTGTCAACTATACCCAATGTAGAAAAAGTATTTCATACATGGAGTGTCTGGGATGGATTCTATGTTCATACTGAACAACCATTGTTTGACCAAGGATTCGAGACTATGCAAAACCAGGCCATGCATTTGTTACAGTACATGGTCTTGAACACCCACAAATTACATCGCTTCACACCGGGTTTTCAGTTAATCAATCAGTCTACATGATGGACTGCTTACCTATGTTGACCCTTTTCAACCACCCCAACTGATCAGCAAATACGTTGGTCCCATGGGTCAAGTCATGTCTGGGAAAATCATATCGATCTCATGTGTTACTATTCAAGGTATTATGTGCAAATAGATATGTTGAAGGCTGCGAGTGCAATGCCATGACCGGCGCGAACATCAAACATGCAACTTTGGGTCTCACTTTTGCAAAACCATGCAAAACCACACAGTTTGCCCACATCCCGTGCTCGGTTGTGCTCTGGCTGCACCGGACATCCCAACGCCTCGACACGCTTGGTGTACTCCAAAGCGATCGCATCGACGTAGGTCCTCCCACCGTTCCAAACGCATCAGTTCCAATATATCATACACAACGGCGTAAATGTCGATCTATACATGCCGGAAGGCCGGGCAATATTCGTACTGCCGTGAATACACCTTTAAAACAACAGTATCTTAATTAAGCGATGATGATGCATGAATATGCATGAGTTTGATGATTGATCCACACGCGTTTTGATTTGAACTGGTGGACAGGGCGCAAGAGCATCCAACGGCTTTTCAGTGAGGCCAATACGGAAATGAGTAGGCAAACTCACTTTGTTCGCACTGTTGCAGCAAAAGGCTATGTAAAATGAGATTTGCTCCATTTTTCTCCAATCTTTCCCTCCCCGCGCGCGGCGTACGGCGGACCGCGGCAAGCCGTTGTCCTGTAAACAGAACTGCACATCCTCCAGGATCGAATCCTCTGGACCTGATGCGCCGAGGTCCTTCATGCGCACCGAGGTCGATCTTCCAACAGAGGTTGAAGGACCCGAACTAGACCATCCCAGTTGGGTACCCCAGTAGGGTCCTAGTTCAGGTCACTTAACCTCTCTTGGTTCACCATGTCCCCACTACGTAGTCTTTGTTCTTCCTGCAATGATACACCAAAGGGCCCTTTTGTGGGACGAACTCTCAGTTAACCACCGGGCGGGTCTTGTCCCCTACACCGACTTCGTCGTACCTCCTCAGTTTCGGTATGACTGGACTGGACCCTCCTGGCACCCACCCCAGTCGCACCTTCTCAGAAGGTACTTGGAGGCCAACATGCATATCCACAAACTTAGCTTCTAGAGAACCGCCCCAGGTTGGGGTAGGCTCAAAAGCATTTGTTCTATCTCTATCACCTCCAACCACATCCTCAAACCGTACCGAACGTAACGGAACCGGAACCGAACCCAAGGACCCATTACCTGACAGAGTGACCTCTATTCTGGATCACCAACCACCCCAAATACCCCAAATTAGAGTCCTTTAGCCATCAAAACAGGGGCCAGCCCCGAGTCTCACCTCCTCGGCGCTTCGTACGCTCCTCCTTTGTACCGTACTCACGGGCACCGACTGAGTCAGTTTTGAGGGTCCACGGGTCGGCGTGTCGGTCATGCGATCGTCCGGTGTGAACGACACGGAGGCTTCAATCGGCCGCCCCCCACTGGGTTCGATGGGACTGGGGTGGGTGGTTGGGGGGAAGACCAGCGAAGCTGAGGAGGACATTCACTGCCTGTCACCGGTCCGATGAATTGAAACTGTCCCGGAAACTGCTTGTGGTGTCGAAGGAAGTGCTGCCAGTGCTTGCCATGTTTCTGCTTCAGGGATCTTCAGGGTCTGTTTTTGCGTCGCACGGAAGGAGACAAAGTGCTCTACTCTCCAGGTGATCATGTGCCAAAGCAGGAAACAGAAGGGATTCACATGGATTCACTTTCACTATGATTCACTTATATAAGGAAACATCAAAGAGGTCCATGACTCCATCACTCTCCACCCCACACCCCACATCACTCAGCTCACTCCCCCACTCCGCGTCCCGGTCCGCCCTCTCGGTCGCCCGGGCGGGCGCCGCGCGGTAGATGCCGGTGACCTGGACTCGATCGCCTGGCCGCACCTGGATCGCGCAGGCCGCCACAGGTTGCTTGGGGAAACGCCGAGGCAATGGCGGAGGCTTCGGGCCGATCCCTTTGGGGGTTTTCTGTCCAGTTTCAAGGGGATCTGTGCAGTGTGGATTTTTTTTCTAAAGATGATCTCGGCAATCGTCGGCGGTGGGTGGAGTTGGGTCTGAACAGAACTCAGAACAAGTGAAAACAAGATCATGTGAAGCAGAACCACTCAAAGGATAACCACCCTTTGCGTGGTGCTGGACATGTGACAAACACGGGTGAAAAAACACCGGCTTTGGGAACATTTTGGGGGATCCTCATGAAGCCTACAAGCTCCAGGGGCTCAAATACCTTTTGAAGGTGTGTTGGAGTCATGGGAAAGGTAAGCACTGAACACAATCGATGGGGGTCCCATTCAATCAGCCGAGAGTATTCAATAGCGCGATAGATCTTAGAATCTTAGATGATCTTAGATTATGTGAATGGAGGGTTTTCTGAGTCACAACTGCTCTCCAACTTGAGGTCACGAGGACGCCTCTACCCCCTCACTGATATAATCTATGCAGGTTCCAACACGTGGTTTCTTCAACCCAATGGCATGCCATGGCGCCAGAACCTAGTCGCTGCAGCTCCCGCGGCGTCCGTTTCTTCCGATCTTCGGCTGAGCCGGACCAGCAAAAAGAAAACCTCACGGTTCTTCAACGTGACCGAACTTGATATCCCAGTTGGATGTCTCCAACAGGCCCTAGGCCCTGCAAGTTTGGTCACCAACAGGGACTTCAAAAGGTTCGGTCATGAACTGGAGAACCATCTCGAATGTGTTTTTCACCGGTCATTTTCGAACTCTCACTTTTTCGAACTCTCTCAAATCAGGTCACGTTGTTCAATTTTTTGGGTTCGCCCCAAATTGCCTGGTTCACCAGATCATCAAAGACCACCACGGCCACGTTCTGAGGTGTTTCCCCATCCGGAACGAGCTCCGGGGTCTCCTGCAGCGTGGTCCGAAGCGTTTCGTCTGCGATTTCGTCTCGTAGCCATCGATGGTGTTTTCGGGGTCTCTGATGGATGTGAGCAGGGATGTGAGTTCGGTTTCGGCGGCGCCTCTGGACTCCAATGTTCACTTTCAAAGCTTCTCAGGCCAGGCGGAAACATCAAACATATCCCTACACCTCCAGTCGTACCTCCTCAGAGGGTGCTACGACTGGACCCTCCTCTCACCCACCCCAGTCCCACCTTCTCAGAAGGTACGACTGGAGGCCAAGGGAATATACCTGTTCTGGGATCAGCAAAACTGATGCGAAGGATCTGTCGTTGCCTTGTGCCCTGGTGCCACTCGGCCGGCCCTTGGTCTGACCCGTCCCCGCTCTGTTTCATTGCTGGGCTGAATAGAGGAACACCCCAACCCCTCAGCACGAGGTATAGTAGTAATTAATAGGTCCAGCGAGACGAGCCCTTCCCAAAAACAACACCGGCCTGATCAAAACAACACCGGCGCCATGTTCCAAGTGCTCCAGGAGCATCCGAGTCTTGACATCCTTCCTGATCTACAAAACAGAACGTGGTCAGATCGGCGACCACAGTCTTTCGGGTCCTGCAACTTCAAGACTTGACGATCGCTGAACTGGCAGTCATTGTGAATGATTTGGAAGGAATGGCCTTAGGAGCTGCTTGAAGCCGGAGGAAGCTGCCAGAGCTTGGGGTCCGGAGGAGTGAATCCCCATCGGTGAAGGAGTCCTTCCAGCAACGATGCTCACGCCTTCAAGGTGAAACGTAAGATAGCAAAACACACGGGGTTTCAGTTTCATTCCCCAACAATCCATGTATGGAATATATAATTGACCCTTATTAAAAAGCTTTACTTCGAGTGATACCTACAAGTACCATGACATGTCAATCATTTGTCTTCATCCATGGTGAGGGGCATGTTGCCATGGTCGTGAGTTTTGTGGTTCTCCATCTTGCTTTTGGGTCCTCGAGTATTTGCGGTGGTTGTGTGTTGTGGTTGTGTGCTGTGGATGTGTCTTTGTGATTCGTGTGTCGTGGTTGTGTGTTGTGGTTGTGTTCTTGGTTGTGCTTGTGGTTGTGTGTTATGAGTTATGGGGTTCTAGGCTTAACCCTCGCCAGTCCACCACTTGGCATCCAAAAGCGCTACCCTGTGACCACCTGCCACGCAAAGTGCACAGGTAATCACAGGTATAATTGTAATTGTCGTGGTTGTGTGTCCTCCTCGTGTGGTGTGGTTTTATGTTTGTGTTTGTGGTTGGGTGCTTGTGATTGTGTGGTTGCAGTCGAGCTCCGGGGTTCGGTACGACTGGACCTGACCCCGGCACCTACATGTCTCACTGTCGAACACATCACCGTACTTCAGAGGGTCATGTGGATCCCTACAGATTGCCATCGTGGGATCCTCAAGCCAACCTCCATCCCTCAGCACCTGCCACTCACCTGCTCGCTGTCTCGGTCTGCCCAGGGACTCGCTCCACAGAGCTCACACTTGGTGGGCTCGTCGATGGTCCAGTGGCTCAAAATCACCTTCACCTGCGGTCGTTGGATCCCAACGGAGACCATTCATGACAATCCCACTATAGGACTGTTGTGATAGGAAAGGGCATGGCGGTCGCTCAGCTTCTAGGTAGAGAATCAACACCACTCTGTATGATAAATTTGTTGATATATTTTTTGGATGATCCCCTCATATCCACTCTGAACTAGCACCAGAAACTTCGCTCCGGTAGCGCCTCGTGCTTGCAGTCCTCCGTGGTACATCGAAAGACTGCAGCGTTCATGTCCTTGGCGCTTCTCAGAGGCGGAGCGAAGGGAGGGGCGATGGATGGTGACGGATTCTCCATCAGAATCCGAAGCCTTCGGCCGGATGAGGCCAGGAAGAAATCATCATAAATCATCCCACCCTAAGAATCCGGGCCCTCAAACAGATAGGGTCTGGTTCGGGCCCAGACCCTTGTGAAGGTGGAGAAGGTCCGACCCCTGCCATCGAGAGCCCAAGGCTTCTTAGGGCAAAATGAGTGATTGGATCTGATTGGATATGAGATGGTCTTCCCGGACCCCATGGTCTTCACGCTCTTGGTCTTGGGGCTCTCTGCGGCCCAAAACATTCACAGACATCCCGAGTTTCGGAGGCCAGGGTCACCTGTGGATCGTGGCAGGTACTCATAGATTCTGAATGCTTTGAGCCCCTATCATACCACATCCAAATCCTTGCATTTGGCGGATGAAGTGTGAGGTTGCTGCACCACCTTCCGCTGGGTTTCCGCTGTTTGTCCCGGATCTCGCAGCAGTTCTGAGCTCCACCATTCCAAGAGGACACATTTGTGGCCAACAAACGACTGGTGCGAACAAGCATCTGGAGTCAAATCTGAACAGCGGATGACAATGCCTTGGAAGACATGGGGGTTGTATGGGGTCGTGATTCGTGATGGAGAAAGAAACTACCTGGAGATACCTGGAGTCTCTGTTCGTACCTCAGAAAATGAGTATAGAAAATGGTACAAGTTAGCTGTTTCTGGTTCGGTCATGTCCTGTAGTCTAGAGTACTTTAAGTCGGGTCCAAACAACTCAAAGTCATGTCCTATTTTCTATTCTATAGAGTATAAAATCAAACATGTTTTGAAACCAATCTTCCCAACTGGGCACTGATCTCCTCCTTTTAAGTTTCTTGGAGGTTTCGCATGGCTTCTGGGTACATGACCTCCAAGTGAATCGTTGTTTTTTCTTGCGACAGGATGAGTGTCTTCCGTGCATCACTTGTGGAGCTTGGTGGAGCTCAAGTCCTGACGTTCCCGGTCATAAAAGCATCGCTCTATTATGTACTCGACCGGCCTTCTAACGTTGAACAACAGAGTTGCTTGGAGTTGCTTATGGAACCGGAACCAAAAAGGGAATATAATCCCCAGAAGGGGATCAATAGGGAACATAAACCATGGTTGTACCATGCAGCTATAGAGGGAATCTCTGAACTCCGTCGACGCGAGGGTTTCTCGCCTCCAAGTCTCTTTACTCGACGCACCGACGCGCCACACCGAAACGCCCCGGGGCTCTTTGACTGCCCCACGTGTGGCACCCGGGTGCCAGGTCCCCAACGCCAGGTCCGGCACACCCGCGCCTTTCACGGTGATGAGACGCTCGATATCGGTGGGATTCCTGGGGGCGGCGAGGCAGGCGAACCCGGGGTTTCTCCGGAGGCCAAGGTCTCGGAAGGGCGTTATCCGCAGTCCCCAGTGATCCGTTTTCGCACCGAACCTCAGGTTCGATGCGTTTTAACGGCCCCTCCTGGCACCTACACAGCGTCTCCACACATCACCTTCTGAGAAGCTACTTGGATTCCTATAGGGTATATGGATGCATTGCCACCTTCGAAGTTGACCAAGGCTCAGGGGTCGTCCAGTCATACCTGACAAGGTCTGTGGATCTGTCAGAAACAGAGGTGGTTCAGTCCAAGTCGGCTGGCCGTAGTGATCCAGGTGCCCCAGTTCGACCCGGTTAGGACCGCAGGGAGCGACCAAACTGCTGCCCCGACTGGGTTCTGGGCCCACATCCTCAGAAGGTGTATATAGTTAGACCCCCTGGCACCTACCCCAACCAGCTTCGAAACGGAGGTAGGCCAGGAGTCCTAGGTTTGGTCCAAAACGGTCCTTTTGTAGCCTTGGGTGGTAGAAAGAACCGGTACAGACGAAACCCTGCGGCTTCTGAGGTATTGTATACGTATAGTCTTGGCATGTCTTGGCGACTGCTTTTGTATGACCAATCTCCAGTATGAGGTCAAGCCGACCAAGCCAGGGGTAGATATATAGGGAAGAGAATGGCTTCTGGTCGCTATAGACCATGCCAAGAGACCCCAAAAAGGCCCACATGGAGTCGCTGGGAATTCAGCTCGAGCATCGACGCTGATCATCGGACCGGCCGTGGGAGGCTGTGGGGTCCATTCAGTTCATGTGGTTTGGACTACCAGGGACGGGTGTTCTGGTCTTGACACCAACCGCTGGGGTAACACGCCCAGCCAAGATTCATGCATCGCATCACCCTGCAATCTCGATCAAGCCTCAGGTGTTCACCACGCAACGCAGTCGCAAAACGCAACAAAAGACCCACACCTGCAACCCAATTTCAAGTACTCTTGAGAATGGGACGTCACTTGGCATGACCCATCAAAAAGAGGTATTGGATGGTATGGTTGGTACCCTTTTTCTGAGGTCCCGAGACGCTCCGTGAACGACGCCTGACTGGTCCCTGAAAACCTAGGGATTGGTTCCGACCCCAGCCCCCTGACCCGAGGATTCGGGTCCGACCCCTACTGAACGCAGGGCCCAGGTACCAAAAAACATGGATCCGACTCCCTGGTGTTCGTCCTGTCTTCGCCACAACTCACAACGCCTGGAGTCTTTGGACGGTGCGGCCAAAGCGACAAGCCAAAGATCTGCGCCTGACCTTGGCTTCCAAGCCCCGAGGGGGG